ATATATATATGTGTTTATATATATATATTAAAAAGTTAATGTTTGTGCGTGTATGCGTGTGAATGGGAATGTGTTTGTGTGTATGTTTTTGTCTGTGTGTGTGAGTGTCATACTTTCCTTTTTGATTGTACATCAGGCACAGTGGTATAGCATGCAGTTCAATGTAATTTGAGGTGTGTCATTTTGAGCATGAATTAATGAAATGGAAATATGATATTTGATATCGTAAAAATATAACTGGTACGACCCATCCATTCCAGTTTCGCCATTTGTTATCAACAAATTGAGGTTCTTATTTTTCTCGTCTATTCCCACACTCGTCTGAACGCCCGCCCACACAACGCCTTCGAACCACTGACGCCATGAACAACTCCCTACTGTATGCAATCTGACCTCGTTGGTGATGACGTTGTTCCTACAGATGATGAATCTGAGTACAGATGTACTGCCACAGTACCGTCTAGAGGCTCCCAAGACACCCCCTCACATCATACTCCACTACTGCCTCTTCAAGACCATCTGGGATTGGATCATTTTGATTCTCACGTTCTACACAGCCATAATGGTTCCTTACAACGCTGCTTTTAAGGTAGGCATGAAAAATGGGAGCAGTTAGAAATTGCCCACTTCAGACTAATGAGGTAAAATAGAAAAGGTTAATGGTTATCAGAAATTGTTCTTTTCCACTTATGTTATGATTTAAAAACTCACGACACAGTACTAGAAAGTTTCATCTTTTTCAAAAGACAGACGGGTTCTGGTAAGCGTGTGTTCGGGGCGGGGGTGTGCATTAGCCGGGTGGTTAATTAGTGCGGGTTCGAAAATAATTTCAAGAACTTTGGTGATAGTGCGATAAAGAGGGTCGCTACTGGGTGTGTCCTCTGGCAAAACACGTTTCCATGAGTTTTATGAAAACACGATTGCAGTCTCAATTTCAGCAACTGTGAAAAAAAATTAAATTTGTGTTTACTGTTCTTTTCTGTCGTCCCCGGTGTCTGTGGTGTAGGTAGAGTAAGTTGTTTTGTCGTCGCATGCAAAAGACCTCAGTTCGATTACCGTGTAGGGGGTATTTCTGAAGAGTATTGCGGTCTTTCTACTGGGACGTCTTCTTCCCTTTCTGATTCTGAGAGGGTCAAAGCCGCCTCGTAAATGGTCTAAGGTGTTTCACTGGGAAGAGGGGGTGTACAAACACCTACGTTTTAAAGTGATTATATTTCTCTCTTTCAGGTGAAGACCATGGACCAGTTACCTCTGCTGGTCATCGACAGCATGGTGGACGTCGTGTTCTTTGTGGACATCGTGCTCAACTTCCACACCACGTTCGTGGGTCCCAGTGGTGAGGTCATCTCTGACCCAAGGGTCATACGAATGAATTACCTCAAAAGCTGGTTCGTGATAGACCTTCTCTCATGTCTCCCATATGATGTCTTCAACGCATTCCAGTATGTTGACGATGTAAGTCTTTTGTTTTGGCTTTGTACAAGTTTCACTTTCTACTAGACTTAAATGCCCCCTTTTTTAGGGTAGGCGTTCTACAGAGGGGTAAACGTAGAGGAAGACAGGGAAGGAAAGGATGAGAGATAATATTATGCGACAGCGAAGAATATGTATACATGTTGTATGTTATCTGAGCGTAGATTGATGTTCTTCAGCACAAGACAACGGAAGACTTAACTGTTAGCATACGAAATGTCATTCTCCTTCGTGCGTAACCAATGTTGTTATCAAATTTTTCAACACAAGAAACTTCCCTAAATTAAAAACTCCACTTTGGAAACATACATCATTCCTTGAATATTTTGTCCTAGCTCTGTGTACTCATAGTCTACAAGCTATGTGCTCCACATATGAGCTGCATCGTATCAAGTGCTTGGTGAAACCTGACCAACGGTAAATGTTTAAAGAAGAATGTTTTGGTTTTTAGTTTTTCAGAACGAATTAACTCTATCTCTTTTTATCTCACCCGTGACCAGGGAATCAGCACGTTATTCAGCGCCCTCAAGGTGGTCAGATTACTCCGACTGGGTCGTGTTGTCAGAAAACTTGACCACTACCTCGAGTACGGGGCTGCCATGCTGGTTCTTCTCATTCTCGTCTTCATCCTCTTCGCCCATTGGTTCGCTTGCATCTGGTACAGCATCGGGTGGGCAGAGCTGATCAGCGGTGTGGAATATGGTTGGCTGCCTGAGCTAGCCAATGTGACTAAGGTATGACCAATGCCAGTGTGAATGTGAAACTGAAATCATGCGAACAAAAGAAACTGTCTTTCTGTTTTCATATATTAAGTAACAGCGTTAGTGTATTGAATCAGGCGTAGTTTACATACAATTACATCAGTTTTGTTGTAGAAAATATTGATTCATAAGATGAGTGTTTACGTCATTTGAGAAACAAAATAAATCTTCCTCAGCAGTGAAGGTGGTGACGTATACATGAAAAGAAAAGCAGGTTGGGTGCCCTTTTTAGGGAGTGACGTATTCTGTATCCAAAGGGTAGGACAAAAGTTTCTTTTCAAAGTGATTGAAACACGAGACAAGATGCCTTCATAGAAGACGTGGGCGTAAACGTCGATGCAAAAAGATGTACGAGGAGATGTATATTTTTAAAATACATTACATTAACGAAACTATTAAAAACGGAGGTCATGAACTGAATGCAATAGATGGGGAGGGGGGCAGGGAATGAGGATGGAGGGGGGGGATTACAGTCCATAAAGCAGACCTTGTCTTTATCTCCAACTCTCGTTCGTGGAAATATATGACCGGGGTGTTTTGTAAAGCAAAAAAAGATAAACTATCAAAGCCGTACTACCACCACCACCCCCTCTACCTATCTCTCTCTCTCACACACACACACACACACACACACACACACACACACACACACACACACACACACACCTCCTGAGTGCAGCTTTGCCTCGATGCGATCTTTTAAGTAATATCAAAAAACGAATTCTTCCTCACCAGGAGCCGTTTGTCGCTGCAAACACGAGTGCCAGTGACGACCGTTTGGGTGGACCCAGCAAAGAGATGCGGTACCTAACGGCCCTTTACTTCACGCTGTCGTGCATGACTGGCGTGGGCTTTGGTAACGTGGCAGCCAACACACAGACGGAAAAGCTCTTTTCTGTCTTCATGATGATCATTGGATGTAAGTCGCCCTTTTCTGTGCAGTGTGAACTAGCTATAATATAGCTTGGACTCTAATACTTGTCCCGGTCTCTTTTGACGGTCTGTTTTTCTGTTTGGGTCGTTTACCTTTCTTTCTTTCTCTCCCTCAGAGAGAGAGAGAGGGGGGGGGGGATTAAGAAGTTTATTTTTTAAAAACACTTTACGCCTCCGTGGACACAATTTAATTTCCTGACGAGAGAATAGAACCCACGTCCTTTGTGATTAACCATCACTCCATAAAGAAAGAGAGGGCAGAAATAGGCCGAGAGACAAGTAGGAAATAGGGAGGGGGAGAGGGGGGGTAGGATGTAACAGACCTTCGTTTTGATTTAACATTGGCTACTGAATGACCGTTTATTTTTGCTACGTTGACGAAAGTGAAATATTGTAGAAACATGAAAGGTAAGCACGGTTCTGGTTTCCATTACTGATTGCTTGATACCATTCACTGTCTGTTTTTAATAAGATTGATCCCTCGTTGATCAATGACAACACTGCTGTATGGCATGTCATGAAAGAGTTAGAGGTATGCATTATGCACTACGAATGAGAATTAAGGGCACGTACTGTTACGACATTTCTTTTACACTTTCTGATTCCAGTTTTGATACCTAACGTGTGCACTGTGCGCTCATGTGTAACTTCCTAAGCATAACATTGGTGTGTATGAATGTAGTGTGGGTTTGTGGGTATATTTTTACTTGTCAATTTGTGGGTTTTAGCCCATATCGGGCGTGCGTGTATTTGTAAACGTCTCTGAGCGTACAATTATGTGTATGAGTGGGGAGGGGGTGTAGGTGGAGACGATGGATGGGTATATGAACTAGCGAATAAGTCCCATGAATAAGCGAGTGGGAGAGAGTCCGTCAAAAGTAGCTGACTGGGGGAATGTTACTGTTATTCTTCTGAAAGCCTGGCTGTTGTCCTCTTCGAAAGCAAATGCGTGAACGGAAATTGTTTCTCGTTTAAAACACTCGGTGATGAAGATAAATAGACATATTTCCTATGCGTCCATTACGTCACTGGACTCATGAGATGGGTGCTCCAGAAGAAATCGATGTTTCATAACGGCTATGCTAATCTAGTGGATTCTGGGTATTGATTCAGTCCCATGTGATTGACGAAGTATGGATTCGACAGTTATCGCTTTTCCTTCTCCTCGATCGCAGAATGAGATTACTTCAAAAGCTTTCCCACAATAGAGCTTACAGTCGACTTGGCTTTTCCTCTGTAAGCACGGTTCGTTTACTGTGGCAACTTGGCATTTGAAAGAAAACTTTTTTGAGGAGTAAGGGGGCGACAAAAAGCATGGCGTGCGGTCCGAAAGTTCAGGTTGTAATGAAATGAGGGGTAAACAGAATTTGAAAAAGAATTTCCAATTTGTGGGATACTGATATTTGAAGTTCTACTTTCTCTTTATAGGGTTTTCAGCGATGTATCAGAGTTTATGCTCTAGGTTTGATGGGTGGAAGTGTTTCCATTTGTTTTTGTTTTGCAGTATTAGCATTTATCTTTCTTTTTGTTTTTCTATTCTTATCTATCTTGAAATGGTGAGAAAAAAAATTTATGCTAGAATCTTAAGCTAAATAAAATATTATGTTGCAGGAAGAAGAAGAAGAAGAAGAAGAAGAAGAAGAAGAAGAAGAAGAAGAAGAAGAAGAAGAAGAAGAAGAAGAAGAAGACAA